ATGAAGTCATCAATAACCTGTAGGCACTCGACTTTGGTAGAGCAAAGGAAGCTGCCAAGGTTGTTCTCATTAGCTGCTTTATGTTCTACAGCTTTGGTATTGGTCCTTTGACTCCTATACTGACTGATTACCTACAGGTTATTGATGACTTCATAAGCAAGACGACTGAAGGAAAAATTCAAAACATGGTGAATGAACAAACTGTTCAAGGTATGTATTGTCGTGGTGTTCCTTCAAATGAGCATAAAAGGGCCGCAGAAAGCCTGAACAGAAGCACACTCCGTGTCAGACCTGTGGACGAAGCAGGCTTGTCATTGCGCCTTCCCCTTTTTTGAGGAGGACAAACCGGAGGGAGCATGAAGGTCGGATGTTGGCCTGTTACCAACTATGCGATCTGAAAGAATGCGCTCTCCAAGTGCATATTCCTTGAAAGCTGCTATATGTTGTGGACTTCGCAGTAACTGAGTTATGCGCGGCGCTGTTAGGCTTAGCGGGGACATTTTTCACTTTTCGCTAACTCACTTTGCTACTCCTTAGTAATGCCTGTGAACTCATGCAAAGGGTAAACCATGCCTCTGCTATGGGGAACTTACAGGTCTCCATAGGAGACATCGAGAGTGATCGACAAAAACCTGGAAAGTGCCCCCGCCAAGCCAAACTGCGCCCCATTTCGTTCAGAGTCCATGACTAACGACATGTGAGGAGTTCTTTATAGGTGCATTCTCACTCATTGTCAACGCCATCTATTTTACGGCTAAGTGGCTATTTCCTTTCATGAAAAGTTCCAACACGAGGGGACATTCTACAGCGCCGGAAGAAGCGGAAGACAGGTTTGTCATATTGGGTCGTAATATTTTGTTCCCCTGAAGCGTCGCCCGGAATAGTCACCCCACGCGAGCACTTGTCGTGCTTTGTCGAGCGCGATGGTCGGCTCCTTTCTGTGGCCCGCGTTAGGAGGGGACCGAAGCTACCCCCGTTCTTAAAGACAATGTCCTTCAGGCGTTTCGCTAGTGCCTGTTCCATTTGTGTTCTCTCAATTCATTAGATAGTAAAAGTGAGAAGTATACGGTACTGAGCAGCCCTTTTTTAGGGCATGCCACGAATTCTGTTTCAGTTCTGAATGGATCATTATGAATGTTCTGCGCGATGCGATTTCTTTCCTCACGGTTGTTAACGCTTCTTTTTTTACTCATACAGCTCATTCATATGATCACGGGTACAGTCCGAGTGCGAGGCAGGGTTCCCATTGTCCCTGTCGAGTAGTGTTTGAAATAAACGAATGATGGACAGCTTGACTGACAGCTTGAGTGGCCGCAAACCGATCTGAGATTTGATTCCTAGAGGGCCGAACCGTATTTCCGCTCGGCAGTACGCTGTGTGACATGAATCCTCGAAGTAGAGAATGAAAAATAAAAAGGATCGTTGCGGACGGACACTGTAGGCATTCTCATCCTCATTCCTGCACTCTTCGAGCTTCGGAAAGAACGCCAGGCAACTCTGAGGCTTGCCAGAACGAAGTTGTTCCAAGCTTCCTTCTCTGAAATTTTGTAGAAGCACTCCTTTCGGCGAGAAACCAACCCTCTACTGATCCCTCCTCTGAGACGTTTGTGATAACGAAGCGTTACATGGGAGCTAAAAGTAATGTCTCCCTTCCCTTTTCTTATCCATTTTTCGGGTTATAAGAACGAAAAAGACGCCTTTCCATTTTTCAGATAGAATTCATGAATGATTTCAACTCCTATCGGGCTTATGCTGAAGACAATGACCTACAGGTGCTCTCCCTTCCTTACAAGGACGAGTCATACGCATTCAACATTTTCCTACCTAAAACAAGGTAAGAACATGATTTCGTGGTTTTGGGAGCCTCCCTCTAGTAGAAATAATCCGAAAGTTTGGGCTTATCTGACTAATCACTCGGAGTTAGGGATGGGTGGGATGATGCATGCGTAGGAGAAGTTGAACACCGCGGGAAGGATGGATCCTAGATAGGCGGTGCCAAGAAAAACACGTCACTCGGCTACACAGCAGCTCAGAGAGAGGGAAAACTGGAGGGAGGGAGACATAGTCGTGTGAGCGCCGTCGCGGGCGGGGCCAAACAAATTTTAGCCATTTGAGCTTCCTTGGGCGCACGCGTCCAGATTATTCTAGGTTCGCCTTCTTGGAATTTTGCATTAGTTATAAGAGCATTCTTCGTGAAGACATAGAGATTCGTGAAAATTCGTGAATTGAAGATATACAAGCACTCCATGAAGACAAACTGTACACTAAGTTCCTTGGATTCTGGTTCTTCCATGTGCGAGGTAAGTGGGTCCGTAACTCACTGACGGGCCACATTCCCCGCCAAAAGGAGG